GACAGAGCGAGACTCTGTCTCAAAAAAAAAAAAAAAAAAAAAAGCAGGGGGTAGGTAAGGAGAGAGGGGAGGGAAGAGAAGTTTGGCTGCTGACATGAGCCTGAAGTGGCAGTTGCAGATGAGGGGTGACAGCAGGCACCAGAAACAGCAGTGCGGGGCCATGTCACGCCCACAAGCATGGCTCAAAAAAAATAGAAAACAGCGTTGGCGAGGATGTGGAGCAATTGAAACCCTTGTGCACTGCTGGTGGGAATGTAAAACAGCGCAGCTGCAGGGGAAGACAGTATGGCAGGTCCTCAGAAAAGTGAACACAGAGGCCAGGTGCGGTGGCTCACGCCTGTAATCCATGTGCTTTGGGAGGCTGAGGCAGGAGGATCACTTGAGCCCAGGAGTTAGAGACCAGCCTGGGCAAGACCCCATACTTACAATTTTTTTTTTTTTTTTGGAGACAGAGTTGCCCTCTTGTTGCTGAGGCTGGAGTGCAATGGTGTGACCTTGGCTCACAGCAACCTCAGCCTCCCGGATTCAAGCAATTCTCCTGCCTCAGCCTCCCAAGTAGTTGAGATTACAGGCGCACACCACTGCGCCCAGCTAATTTTGTATTTTTAGTACAGATGGGGTTTCTCCATGTTGCCCAGGCTGGTCTTGAATTCCCGACCTCAGGTGATCCACCCGCTTCAGCCTTTCAAAGTGCTGGGATTACAGGTGTGAGCCACTGTACCTGGCCAAAAATTTTTTTTTTTTTTTTTGGAGACAGAGTTTCACTCTTGTTACCCAGGCTGGAGTGCAATGGCGCGATCTCGGCTCACCGCAACTTCCGCCTCCCGGGTTCAGGCAATTCTCCTGCCTCAGCCTCCTGAGTAGCTGGGATTACAGGCACGCGCCACCATGCCCAGCTAATTTTTTGTATTTTTAGTAGAGACGGGGTTTCATCATGTTGACCAGGATGGTCTCGATCTCTTGACCTCGTGATCCACCCACCTCGGCCTCCCAAAGTGCTGGGATTACCACCGCACCCGGCCCCAAAT